TATCTCGGCATCTACTGGTCGGATGGACGTCCCAGATGGCTTGAACGATGGCTATGGACGTCCGTCGACCAGCGCAATTTGTTTGACGTCGATTGGAGCTTTGGCCACGGAGTTACGGTGGAATATGTGGTTGGTGCCCGCCTTTTGATGCCGCTGAGCCCCCTTTTTCGAGCATAACTTTCCAACGACCGAATGGATTTTGCTTCAAGTTGGCTTGTATGATTGCTATGGGTCATAGCTACACCACAATTTTTAGTTTGTGCCAATTGAAGCTCTGTGGGCGGAGATAAGAGCGGTGGCGCATCATATAAGAAATTGCGCCACCGGTGGCGTAAATAGACAAACCCTAGAAAAAAAATGCAGCGCGGCAGGTGTACTGATGCCGCTCCAAGCACGTACACAAACAAGATCACAGACAGACACACCTGTCCCACGCGGGGTTCTAGTATTCCTTGATTTCGCGCAGGATTTTGTCGACCCGCTTCCACAATTTTTCGTCATCGGTGACGAGGACCGCGCCTGCGTCGCAGTAACATGGGGTAGGCAAGTCGAACAGCAGTAGCAGTTAATGGTCAGCAGTAGCAGCAAATCAAACATGTGCAATGATCTATCCGCAACATACCTACTGCTGGATGACGTGCTGTAGACTAAAAACATTGCTCTCCATGCCTCTCAATACGAGTACCACAAATGACACAAAGTAACACACCCCCTGGACCGATTTTCAAAGGCCCATTCCTCAACAGCGAGAGGAGTCACAGTGACAACAATGGCGGCGTTGAGACCGTCTCATCGAGAGCTTTCCGAAAATGCACCGTTCCGTTCGTGCATCCTCTTTGTTGTGGAGTAATCGAGCTTTGAAAATCGGTCAAGGGGGTGTAGTTGTTGCTGTTGTTGTTGTCTTCACATTAAAAACCATCCCGGTCTCTCTATCCAGTACCTCCTTCTGTCTCAATCTCTCCGTACTAATCCAGCACTTGACTCGGTCAATTTCCGTGGTCACAGGCTAACGTACCTAGAAAAGGTATATCAAAATAAAATGGACCCCAAGGGTTAGCAGAGCGATAAAATACAAGAAAACAATAGAATCAGAAACAAATAAATAAACAAATAGTGGAACGTGCGCACCACCAGCCTGGGAGGTAGCCTTCCGGAAGGACCCCAAGGGTCAACAACAGTTCGTGCCAGTAAAAAAAACAAAACAAAAACGAAATAAACCAAAGACAGACGAGGACATAAACAAACTCGCACAGAGACAGGGATATCCGTAGAGACAGTCTGAACGCGACAGCAAACGGGGGA